TGTCCCTTTTTTTTTTTTTTTTTTTTTAAGTGAAGCCCTCAGTGCTGGATTAAACAGGGTCCTTGTGTTATAACAATGCTACCAGTGGTGCTGAAGATGTGCTTCGAGTGCATGCTGCATTATGGGTTAATCAAGCTGAACTCTAGTCCCTTTGCTGCTGTTCTCTGCTGCAGCCTCTGTGCGGCAGTAAAAGACAGCACACTGTGAGGTGACAACTTTCCATTGCAAAATCGGCACTTCAGTGTGCCTTGGAGTATAGAGAGGGTCAGTTAGCTGTGTCAGTATTTATGCTGTATGTTAATTATTATATCATTAAAATATATGTTAGTTGGACTATACAGTTAGTGCAGAATTGGGGGTCAGGGCTCTGATTCCAATTCCTGACTGTGCCATCGAGTCTTTGGTGTGGCCCAGGGCAAATCACTTACCCTCCGTATTTCCCCATCTGCAAATTTATTAAATTAACTGGGCTTCATCATTAACTATCACTCTACCATCATGCTTCATGATGATCAATTAATGTTCTGAATCACTCTCCAATCATCAGGTGTGCAAAGTAGCTGGCATCATGGAGGCCTGCATTGTCTCAGGTACTGGGGTAGAGTGATGCAGCACTCCAGATTAGCATCTGATTATTCTACATAGCAGATCTTCACCTTCTAAAATACAATCCTGCAAATGTTGCTGTGACAAGGCACAGACAGCAGATATTCAGCCTCCACTTCAAATACCATTGTCTTTTTAGATGCTCTCTTTCATAGATCCTGAACCGTAACAGGACCCTAAAATAATGGCATTTGATTTTAGCTGCCTGATCTCCTCGGACCTGTTTCTCACTGACAAATGATGCGATCAGAGGTAACTCCACTGAAATTAGTGGAACTCCATCTGCAAAACCAGTGTCAGATCAGAATTGTGCTGATTAGCTTCACTGACTGCTATTTATTTCTTTTGTGGTAAAGGCTAGAAGCCCCATCATGGACCAGGAAGCATATATGCTAGGTGTGATATTAATACAGGAACAAAGCTGGTCCCTAGCCAGATATTTGTCCAGCTAAACAAGCTCTGCTTAATTAAAGAATCTTCCTATTGTTTTTACTTACTTAATATTGTAAATAAATTGTCCAGGATGTAGTTTTTACTTACTCATGCTGAAGCATTACAGACACTGTAACCATCCCTTGAAGAGCAGAACTCCAAAATTCAGAAAGCCACATGCTGTGTTATACTGATGCTCAAGAAGTGGTAGGACAGTTCCTTATGTCAGCCATCCCCTCCTGTGTTTCTGCTTCTCACTCGCATCTTATTTTCCCTATAATTTTTACATACTGTGTTTGCTTTGTCTGACCACACAGCTGAAGGCCGACGAGAGGATTATCAAAACGGAACATGGCCTGCTGATCCGCAGCTTGCAGAAAAAGGATGCTGGAGCCTATTACTGCAAAGCCCAGGAGCACACATTCATCCACACCATTGTGAAGTTGAACTTGAACGTCATAGAAAACGGGCAAATGGAAAGCACGCAGAAACCGGAGGACGAGGAAGGGCGGGTGAGGGATTTACTAACCGAGTCCCGGCTGAGGTACAAGGATTACATCCAGCTTGTCAGCAGCCCCAGCTTCAGCCTGGATGAGTATTGTGAACAGATGTGGCACCGGGAGAAGCGGCGGCAGCGGAACAAAGGCGGGGCCAAATGGAAGCACGTGCAGGAGATGAAGAAAAAGCGAAATCGAAGGCACCATGAAACTGCCAGCCGACATGCAGGCCCTACAGCCACGTAATTTGGATATTCTATTTAAAGACAGAACATTTTACATGTGAAAATACTGTGTTGGGGGCGGGGGGGGGCACGTGTTGCATCCTTCCTTGTAATTAATATTGCTTCTCACTGAGATCATATAATGCACAGTCATTCTTAATCAGTATAAGGCTGTACTCTGGAATACAATATCAAATGAGATGTTTCTGATTTGAGTACCGCATCCTAGGCAATATTTAAAAAAAAAAAAGTTTTGGACTTTTAGGTGGTACTTGGAGGGTGAGAGGCCAATACGTGGGATTTCATGTGGGTGTTTCATAGTTTCACTAACATAATTTTTCCATAGGATTTAGCGTTTGTATTACTGGCTGTTATTAATTGGCTGCTACATTCCACTCCAGAAGTGGCTACATTTCAGGGGTGGGCAGATGTATTTGTAGAAGTGTTTTGGCATCTTTATAGATGAAAGGTGATATATAAATATGTGACAGATCTGCAAAACAACACTAACTTAACCCTTGGGCTCATAACTAGGCATATGGGTGGGGGTTGCTAGCACAGAAAGGCGATGTGAAAAAAATCAATTAAGTATTGGCTTAGGAGTAACTTGTGTCTGTGCCAAGAAAAGAAAAAGAAAAGCCTGATCATAGTTTAAGAGGAGGAAATACAGAGCGTTATTCATTAGGGTTTAAGTAGCCACCAGTTTGCAGTCCATCTGCTGAAATGAAATGTTGACTCAAATTGAAACTGCCAGCAAGATACTGGAGAGTAAATGTCCTAAACGGTGCGTGGGAGATGTGTGCACAAATCCGATTAACAAATAATCGGATTTCTGCCTTCACCTTTTTTTGTTTCTCTGAACATTTTACCCAGATTGTCTCCACTCACCTCTATAACTCCGACCTTTTTGCTGGCTTCTTTTCATGCTGTTAGTTCATGGAAGAAAAAAGTAAAGGAAGAGGACAAAAATACACTTGATAAGATAAGACAATGAGGGAAACCTATTTTTTGACAGAGATAGTGCAAACATTCCTCAGATACGTGTGTATTCTTTTTTTTCTGTTTTAAAGGTCTTGTGTATTTCAGAGTCAAAATGTTGCATTGTTGGAATAAATACTTTTTATTATAATTAAATAAAAAACAAAAAGTACCCATGTGTAAATACACAGAAGCACAAGTTAAAAATAAGCAGTTTTCTGTTGACAATAACTCCATTGGGAAAGTATTGCTAGATTTATGTTTTACTGTTTAATAGGTTACGTCATTCTGTATAGGCAAGAGATATGTGGCCTTACTCTAAGCAGTGTGACTTCATTGAACTTACTCCTGATTTACACCAGATGAAGCGTGATCAAATTCAGGCTTTTCTATCTCTTCTCTAGTTCTGCAGCCTCCCTTCCCCCACTTTGTCAAATCTTCCTTGTTTTCCCTTTCACGCCTTTTTGAGTGTGAAATGACAAATTAGCCACTTCCTCACATGGCAGAGAGCTCTGATGGATACCAAAAAGACAGACTTTACTTGTTTCTCATGCAGTCGACAAGTCTTGAGAGCAAAGTCTGTGGGAAACCCATGTGATTGGTGTGCAGTTCTTAGTGGCGGGAGGAGGGAACTGAAAACTTTAGTTCTGAATACTAGAGATTAGACCTATCCACTACCCAATGTGTGTGTGTTCATTCAGTCCCTGATCAATAATTGTGTAGATACAAGTTCTGTCATTGTAGAATGATACAAAAAAAGTGGTGCCTTTTTTTCACATTTCAGAAAGGAGCCTCAGCTTACTCAAGTTTTGTGTAAAAACCTAAAGCAGATTTTTAAAAATGTATTATATAAAGCCAGGGACACCAGATGTAATTCTCTTTAGCGCTAGGGACAGACATTATACACAAAAAAAGGTTTAAATGATCAGAAACTGGTTTAAACCTGTAACAGAACAGATGTTTAGTGCATATAAACCAGTTTGAAAATGGCTGAAACCGGTTTGAGATCAACCTGGTTGAATGTAGTATCAGACTTAACTGATTTGGGTCAAACTGGTTTATGCAATATCTGTCCCAGACCCCTTGCTAGTTTAAGATAAACCAGACACTTCCAGCATCCTGGCATGGTTTCTGAGCCAGGCAGGCCTCTCTGCTCCACAGCAGGGCTGGCCCCTCCCCTCTGCTCCCTGGATGGAGCTCAGCAGAGACTGCAGGCATCTATCTGGCTTCCCCCTGCTCCCCACCGCACCCCATCCGCATTACACAGATACCTCTCAGCATTAGCTAGCAGACCACATGCTGGCTATGTCTGCACTGTGGCAGACGGGACAAAGGCAGAATCACCAGGTAGCTGGTAATGTCCCTATGTTGTTTTCTTAATGGGGTGATAAACACTGAGTTGGGGGTGATAAACAACATGTTATCAATTCCCTGCTGGACTGGTCAGAAGGGGGAGAACCACTCCCTAATCAGAGCATCCTGCCAGGACCTGGCCACTCCCCTCAGCTCAGCACTATGGAAGGGAAGGGAGGGCTGCTGTAGCGTCCCCTGGCTTCTAACCTTAATCACTGCAGGCATGTACCCTCATGTCTGGGATGTGTGTGCAGTTACAAACTGGTTCAGCCTAGCCAGGTTAGACTAACCTGCAAAGATTGAGGCTCAGGCTTTGTGAATGTCTGTCCGTACCCTAGATGGGTTTTTTTTCAGAAGAAGGACATTAGTTAATGGAAAGGTGTCGAGGAATGTGTGCCCAAAAGTTTGACAGTGTCAAGCACTAAGTGCTGAATATTATAAAAGATGGGTAGTAGGTTGCTTTGCACAGGACTTTAAACATACAGATTCTGCTGTCATTTGCAAGTGCAGAATTTTTAAAGGTGACTAGTGATTAGGGTGCCTTTTGTAGTGTGAGGGATCAAGAGACACAAACAGCCATACTTTGGGTTGTAATCCAGCTGTCTGAACTTTTCTTACTGTCTTCCTAGTTCAGCCTTCTAGTGCTGTCCAGCAGATGTGGAGGACAAGGACTCTATGATCACTCCACACCTTAAACATTTTAAGGTCACTTGGAACTACTTATTGAGGATTTAGTGAGCATTTGCCTTCTGAATATGAAGCCCCTCAAGAAGTCTTAATATGACCGCTGAAAAAATTAAATACTCTAAATCTTTTTGTGACTTCTGAAAATATAGTATGGTGATTGCCTTCACCAGTAGAACGCACTGATTTATTCCTTGTTGGATTCTACCATTCCCCAGAGTACCATCTCTCAGCCTTAGCCCTTGTGTGAATATGTAGCAATAAGCCAGGACTCAACTAAGATGATCGCCTCATGTGGCTCATCCTGTCTCCTGATTATATATACTGACAAGGGGCTTACTCCTAATTCTCATTGAAATTGGTGGGAATAGGATTGCACTCAGTATTTTAAGTACTGCTTACAGGATAAATCCTGCTTGCCACCTGCAGGGAAACAGTATTCTTTGATTTCTGTTGGCCTATTCCCCCAAGTAATATACATGGAATTTTGCCATAAATAGGTAAGAGTGTTGTTGCTGTCAGGATGGTCCAGGAAATGTTAAAAGGCAAAACATTTTTTGTGATATCTTTCATGGGACCAACTGTACATGAAACATGTTGGAGAAGCTTTTGGGTATCAGGTGTCATTCTTCAGATGCCCAAAAGCTTATCCAGTGGTTCTCCAACTGGTCCAATAAAAGATATCACAAAAAAAAGTCTTGCCCATCTCCATAAATAAACTAACAAAATGTTGTTCAATATTGTTTTCCACCTTAAAAGACAAATGGACTAGGTTGGGTTTAAATACTCTTGTGGTCTACAGTCCTCACACAGAACTCTCTACTGACTTCAAGAGAAGTTTTTATGTGACTAAAAGCTGGAGCCTTAGGAACCTGAGCCTTAAAGGGCTGATTTTTTTTTTTTTTTTAAACCTCTTTTGAAATTCTTAGATTCATCTTCTTTTATTTTATTTCAAATCATCTTGCAGTAGATTTCCTCTCAGAGGCATGATCTCATCGCTCCTGGGTGGGACAGCAAAGCAGAGCCCTAAGTGAGGTATGAGGCCACTTCTGTCTTGGGGAAATACATTCAATATCCTCCAACTCATTATGCCATATTGGGATCACCCCCTCCTCTCTCCCTAGGGAGGGGCATTTAATAATATTGTGCAGATAAAAATGTTTGGTTCAGTCAGTTTTATAAGAGTTGCCTGTTGAGCTAGCACAGTACTTTGCATTCATATAGATGATCCATGTGCAAGGACGCTGGAGACTAGTAAATGAACTGGACAGATCAGGGACCACTAAGGAAGGTAAGAAGGGGTTTCGTTAGACAGTGTTTTGCAATTCAAGGTTAGCAGCAGCTCCTTCAGTCCCAGAGGGGGGTTCAAAGGAGAACAAAATGAGCTAACTCTGGAATTGTAACATGGAAAGTGGGTCAGGAAAGGATATTTTTCCATGGAAAAAAAAAAATCGAGTTCTGTATAATTTAAAAGCCCAAACCTGCAACTGTTTAAATTTCAAAATGAGGATTTGGGGGTCAGTTGTGCTGCTGAGCTGTACTATGAGTCACAACAGGCTCGTAGTTAAAATGAAACTGAATGCAACTTCCTTAAAGAGCTCAATAAAACAATGCTAACTGAATTTTGGGTTGAAAGGGGAAAAAGTTATACTTGCATTAATAATGGAAAGGTTTAGACAGATCCCTTAGTGGAGACTCAAAATAATAATATTAATAATAATAATAATAAACCCCAGCTTAGAGTTAATCACTAATCAAATCCTCTTCCCTCCCTCAATATATACAAAACAACATTAAAAAAAAGAAGCCCCCTTTCTTGGCCGGCTGGAGTTTGGCTGAGCAGCCTGTCAGACAGATGCATACAGTGTGGTTAGTAGTGATTAGGATGCTGAAGTCTGATGCAAGCTTTAAAAGACCCAACTGAGTCTTGAAGCTTGTAATAATTTTGAAGCCAGTTAAAAGAAAACAGGATTAGCAGAAGACACGAATAATATAGTGACACTTATTGTGATAAGATGGTTCCATTGCTGCAAAAAAGGTTCTAACCACACATGAATATGCACACATGCTACAGACAGTCTGGGCCTGATTCTCAACCGAGTTGTAGTGATGTAACGTAATAAACATTAATAATTTTTTAGTTTTACATTCTTGTGAAATCAGCGTTAGCTCCAGAGTCTAAACCCTTATGAAATAAGTAAAATCCAATATATCCCTAGCCTTTATCCAATAATCAATAGATGGCTAGTAGAAACTGATTTTCTTCTGGTCTTTCTGTAATATGCATGAATTTGTGTAAGTCTTTACAACACAAAAGGGTATTTTTTTAAACACAAGGTTACTGCAATCAGTTAATATCATTTGAAAATATTCAAGAACCAGCTCCAACTCCAACTCATGTCAGTGCACTAATGATTATTTAGCTTATCCTTGCTAAATTTCGATCTAATGGATTCTAATCTAATGGAAAAAAAATAATAGCAAGGTCTTCCAAATCACAGCCTAAGTTGAAGACAGTTGTGCATTGATCCATTGGCTTGATACTGTTCTCATTTATGCAAACATAAATTGGGATTTAGCAACATGAAGGTCAATAGAATTACATGTGCATGAGTAGAAAATTAAGCCCACATGTGTCTCTAATACATTGTTACATCTTATAAAAAATTATATGGTCTCTAATATTATATTTTACCATAGTGTTGCTAACATTACATTGAATTAGGCTTCTGTGGTTAGCTGAAGTGGGGAATTCTTTGAGGTTGCAATCCATATTTTGAGCTTAATAAAATGAGTTCATTTCAGAAAGGAAAAGGAAGGGGAAGAAAATTATACATGCCATGGGAAAGATTTCTGAAGCTTTAAAAAGTGACCGTGGCTTTTTACTTCCATAGCTTTGTATGATAGTGACTGCACCATTTCAAGTCATACCTATGTTTCCCCAGTGCTGAACATTTAAACAAGTGCTTGGGCAATTTATAATCCACAGGTTAGCAAACTGGCTTGATCGTGCTTCTTTTGAACAGTGATAGGATATAATATTACAGTAATGGGATTGGGTCCTTATCCCTTCAGATTTGATTTTATATGCTTCCATTTTAATCTATTTTCTCAAAGCAC